TCCAGATCTCTTTCTGGGCTGCCTCTTTGTCAGAGGAGCCCAGCCACGTCTTTGTTTGCTCGCTAGTGAGTCAGAGATGCTGCAGGTTTGTTTGGAGCTTTTATCATCTTATTTGCACAGTAACCAGGACAGTTGCCCATTGTTTCACACGCGTTTTTATCATGTATTTTCAAGTGCCGCAAGGCACGATATCCTCATGCTGACTAGAACAAGCTAATGCATATCTCTTAGCCAACAGCCTAGGGACTAAACATTTCTGATGGGGACTGAAAAAGGGAAGAGAGAGGAGCTGAATTTCCTACAGCAATGCAAAAATCAAAACTCAGCACATTTGTTTGAGCTGTGTGGTTCAAAAGCGGGAACTCATCTGGTACAACACTGCTGTGGACGAAGGCTTGTTGATTTTTGTTAATTGCTGCCACAGTCATTTAAATCTGGAGGGAATACAGTATGCAGACAGTCTGGTGTTGAATGGGGACGAATGGCATGTGACCTAAGAGGTGGCATTTGTCTCCGACTTGAGTAACAAGGAACCAGCCTGTGCCTGTGTGCACCAGTGGGATAAATATCCTAATTTCAGCAGTGGTCCGTGTCAATGCAGCTTCCTAGACACTGAGCTGTCACTGGAGACAAAACTTTGTCTGTCTTTTGTTCTCCTGTTGTCAGAGCTGGAGCAGTGGCATGAGGGTGAAAATCGGCAGCCTCCTGGGCACCCCTGTGGCTGCAAAAGCTGCAGCTGGAATGAGGTCACCGATTCCTGCACATGCAGGAGAGCAAATGCCTTTGATCACTAAAAGCTGGGGAGGCAGGAGGGAAAAAATGCAGGATTTTCCTCCCCCCTGTGGAGGCAAAGAAAAGCCTGCCATACATTAATGGGCCACTTTCATAAATGTGGGAGTTTCGCACACACAGGGTGGCTCAGCCTGTCTGGGATGATGCAGCTGTCAGCCTGTTTGTCTAGAAAATGCTTTTCTGAAAGGTATGATTATTCTAGATTGTTGAGCAAGTTCTTCTGTGTGATTACATTTAAACAACGCCAACGGTATGTGTGGAAGGACTCAAAACGAAGAGGGAGGAGGGTGACTTTGTTGGTAGCCCTGGGACAGCAGGAGAGGATGGTGCTGCCTGCACAGCCAAGACACAGATAATGTTTCTGAGACACTCAGGTCTCTCATCAGCCCGTACGTGGGGGAAGCAGAGTCGTGTGACACATCCTGTGCACATGTGCTCTTTTGGGGGGCTGCTGTTGGAGCAGAAAAGATGAGAGCTGTGTGAGCTGTGGGGCTAAATACATATCTACCTGTGCACAGCTGTGCCCTGTGTGGGCCATGCTTGGGTACCCACAAGGCACCCTGGAAGGGTGCTTCTTAAAAGCCTGGCTTTGGTCCTGGAAAAGGCATCCTTCCCCACCTGCCTGGGGAGAGGGATGTGGACACCACCCCAGGGCAGCCCCGAGGGCTGGCTCTGCCCCTCCTCAGGTAGGGCAGAGGCAAATAGGCAGGAGGAAATTGGCAATGGGCTCTGGGGAAACCCTTTGTTTGCTCACCTTATTAGTAAGGAGGGAGGAAGTAATGATTTATTGATGCTTCTGTGTTTCTTCTGCACTGGGCTATGAAAGAAGAAATCCTATTTCCTGGCTGATATTCGTGGCTCTAATTGAGCTGTAACTTGTTCCTGCAGGGCAGCTTGCCTGCAGGGTGCTGATGGTGCTCCTGGTTCTCTGATACCCTGCCCCATCAGCCAGTCTAGCCTGTGATCGTCACAGATCACTGCTCTGCTCTTCCCCTGCGTCTTGGTGTGGCCAGGCTGGCCGTGGCAGGCTGTTTCAGAGAGCCTGACATTTCTCTGCTGCAGCATTTTATTTGATTAAACCAGAAATATCTAATAGAGGAGGTGGTGGCCACTCCTTTCTGGGGTGACATGCCATGTGGATGTGGATCCATACCTCACCAAAATCCCTTTTTTCATGGTATGTTGGATGGTGTCCTGTTGATGCTTCTTGGCTCAGCCTGGTGGCTGTGCACCCCATGGTGACTGGGGAGAGCCCTGCCCTCAGCCTGGGAGGGTGGGCAGGCATGGCTGGCACTTCCACCACCCTCACTGCCCTGTCCCTGCTGTCTTCTCTGTAGGCCAGCAGCTGCTGGCCTGGCTGTGCCGGTGCTCTGGTAACTGGTGAAGGACATGGAGAGCAGCTGATGTGCTGTGGTGGCTGCTGGCAGCTCTGCCTGTCCCCACCCCTGCAGCTCCCAGCATAGCCTCGGTAAATCCAGCTGAATTCCTGGGCTTTATGTGGCACATCTCCTCTGACAGCAAGCGGTACAGCAGAGCCCTTTGCGTGTGCTCCCCTGCCTCCCTGTGAGCCCCAGCTTAGCCCACTGAGCAGGGCTTGATCTGTGTGTCCTGGAGCATGGGAGGGGGCAAGGGCTGGGTCATGGGGCAGGGGTGGTGAGAGCTGTCTTCTGAGCTCAAAGGCTCTGCTGCCTCACCTTGGTGCCAGTGTGTGGCCTCTCTTCCATAGGCCACGGAGCCATGCGTTGCCAGGATTGCCTGTGAGATGATGGGGATGTGCTGCCTGGCCATGCTTCTTGGGATTTCTGCCTGCAAGCGTTCTCAGGAGCAGGTGCTGGATCCCCTGCCAGCCCTGTGGAGTGGCTGGTCTCCCTAAACTGTGTAGGGAGAATGGCAAGGCATGTGCATTATCCTGAATTACTGGGAGCAGGTAGTCCCTTGAGTCCTAGGGAGAAGGAGATTGTAGGTCAGACATTGGCAAACCTGCCTTTTGCCCCCACAAACAAATAAACATACAGTGCAACCCCTGCTCTTTCTAACTGGACTGGGCTTTTTTGTTCATCCTCTTAAAGCACGGCAATGCCATCTTGGTTAACCCAGGGAGCATGCAGATTCCTTCTAATCACATGATTTATCCAGGATACTGATTTTTATTTTTTAAACCTATGACTGCAGTGCAGCAGGCCCCCAATGCTGGCTGTCCCACAAACACTGAATGTGCAGCAGACCCAGCCCCCTGACCAGCTCAGCTCAGCAAGAGAGAAAGAAGATGATTTACAAGCAGCATCAACAATGTCATAAAGTGCAAGTGGCAAGTTAATGCTGCTTTTTTATTCCAACCCTTTTGACAGGGCCCTGTTAATAGTAGGCTGGGGAGTGGAAACAAAGGCAGGAGCACAGCAGCTAAAAGCCGGTTGTCACAGCTCTGCTGCATTAGTGCAAAAATGCTGTGTTCTGTCAGAAAAGAAGCACCCTTTCCATAACAAATGGCATCACACAGTGAGTAGCAGCTCCAGTCTGCAGATTCCTGTGGACAATGTCAACAGGCCTTCTGAGAGAGGGCAGAGATGCTGAGCCATTCAGTAGGTTTCAGCACTTTGTACCATGATTTTCCCTAGGAAGACTGGACTGAGAAAGGTGGAAACCCATGTGGGTGAAAGCCTGGCAGGCTGGGGAGGGAGAGAGGAGGCAGCATGGAGTGGTGCATCTCATGGAGGGGATGGTGGAACTAAAAGTGGGGGTGGAGAGGAGTGCCAGGATGGATGTTTGGAGTCTGTAGCAGGAATTGTGTTGAATTTTGGGGTGGGATTTGGCAGGTGGGCTGTGGGGGGGACAGAGGTCTTGGCTCTTGGAGCAGCATGGGCACTCCTCTGGGTACAGCAGTGCTGGAGACTTCTCCCTTCCCCAGATAAAACATGCAGCTTGCTGTAATTTTATCTTCTCAGAAAGCAAGATGTGTTCTCCAAAATAACTAGGTTTTCCTCCAGAGCTCCTTTAAAGATGTTCAAATGAGCTTAGATCTGAAGTTAGGGCTGGTGAAATGCTCCCTAGGCCATATGGGGCTGCTTGGAGGCTTCATCCCTAAGTTGGGTTCTGAGTGGTTTTTTTCCTTGATCTAATCCTTTAATGAATTTGGTATATGTATTTTGACATATGTGGTTTTATTTTTAAAATTTTCCCCAGTTGCTTCCTTCCCTATCTCTCTTGGGGTAACAAACCAACAAAAAAAACCCCATACATCCAAAATTTTTCTTTTTCAAAGCTGAGTATTGCAGGTGGGGGGCCTCTCATCCCCGCCTTGTTTGGAGGTTGCTCTCTTCCCTACAAACAATT